GTGCCTAGGACCTATGTATAGTTTAATAAAAGGTAGGTAATATGTATATGTCCAGAAGCACTGTGCGTGGCTTTTGTAAGGGCTCAAAGAAACTGATGAATTTAAATTTCATAAGGAGTGTTCTCCAGCTGTTCCTGGCCTGTTATGTAATATGACCTGGCTGCCAGCTTGGAATAGTTATGCCAGACCTGAAGCAACTGTAGCACTACGGCCAACTGTCTTTGGAAACAAAAGCAAATGATCAATCAATAAATATTGATTCAGCTTCTTACTCTAGGAAGGCAGTAAGATGCTTGACCTTAGGAGGCTATAATCGAATCAGGTAGACAGCATTCAAAAGAGTATAAAATTAACCTTTATAGATAGCATTATATAGAATCTATCCTAAAGGAAAGTTGACTGTGACTGAGGTAATTAAGGAAGACTTCAGAAAGGAGTTGAAAATTGAACTTCATTAGTCTGTGGTTAAAAATACCATAAGGTCATATGCCCACGAAAGGATCCCCCCTGTTGACCTGAAGAGTTCATTTACTTAGTCCAGTGGGCTTAGCCCTTGAATCTTGAAATCTAAATTTTTTAATCCTATTTAATAGTGAAAACAAAATGGACAGGTCATAAATACACTGTTTTTGAAAGTAAGATTTGGGGGCTGAATTTGAACTCTTAAATATGCTTAACTCATTGAGGAGCGGGGGGGGGGGAGATACCACAGTTTTTGAAAGTTGCAATTTCTTGAGGCATATTAGGAAAGACACTTTTTCTTCAGTGGGAAGAAAAAGAGTTGATGGAATGTCATAATCTTTGTATCCAAGCTGCTAAGTAGGCTTTAGCAAACCTTACAGAGATGAACTCCATAGGATTAAACTTTAAGTATCTGGGCCCTTCTGACTCACATGGGCATCTTATAAAAGAAAACCTACCACGGTGGGCTTGGTCAGTTACAACAATGATGCATTACTGCCAGCAGACGCAAGATCAGTAGGTTACAGCTGACACTGAGTCCATCCTATTTGTGTCTCACTCTGACGACCCAGACACTTGGCTTCTGTGTGGATAAACCCCAAAGCCAAACCTGTAAATGTGATGGTCCCAGAAACAACAAGAGCACTTAATCAATTGAATAGAATCATGAATAGCCTATCTTAATTGACTATTATATTTGGTTTGGTTTTTTTAAATTTTATTTTATTGTCTTTTGAATGTCCCTAATTACAATACTATGGTTTTTGCTAACTTTGTTTTAGGAGAATTTTTTTTTCAAATGGGAGTATTTTGACACCAGAAGAGAATAAAAATTTTAAAAAAACTTCAGAAATTTTATGTTTGATAGTTTACAATTATTAGGTGAATTATAACACAGAAGAGTGAAAGGAAATTCAGGAAAAGTAACTGAAATTAATATTGGAAAATCACAGAGAAGGAAAATAGTACCAGAAAACTGGAAATAGACAAGGGTCACCCAAATCTTCAGAAGGGGAAAAGAGGGAAAATGACTACCATTAAGCCTGATGTGAACTCTCACCAAATTTCTAGAACAAATTAATTTAGCATATCTAGGATATGTGCCCTCATGTACTTTGTAAAAGTTGGAAAATAAAGCAGTAATTTCTAGGAGCCACCATGAATTTGCTAAGTAATCTGAAATGTCTTCTTTTAAATCATATGCAAGTTCATTCGGCTGATTATTTAAGTAGCACTGTTGTTACATAGCTTCATGCTCCATAAGAAAAGACTGTATTACATTTACATGAAATTGGAAAGCAACAATGTTTTTTGTTTTACATAAAACCTTCCTGAGCTTTGGTATCTTTATCTACAAAGTGTGGATAATAATAATCTCTGATCCATCTCCTGATATAAAGTATGACAGTGGTTAGATCGTCGGCCCAGGGACCGAAGGGTCCCGGGTTTGATTCCAACCAAGGTCACATATCTCCGTTGCAGGCTCTGTCCCCAGACCCTGGCTGGGGCCAGTGCAGGAGGCAACCGATCGATGTGTCTCCCTCACATCGATGTTTCTCTCTCTCTCTCTCTCTCTTCCTTCCACTCTCTCTGAAAAGCAATGGAAGAAATATCCTCAGGTGAGGATAAATAAATAAAGAATAAATAAATGGAAGGAACCAGAGACCACAAGTTGCCCTGCCCACCACGCGCCTCTCCTCCCTTCCTTCCCTGCCACACACAGAAGCAAATGCTGTCACCACAGACACCCACAGAGCACTAGCTGCTCACATCCGCTTCATTACGGTCTTACTAAATACTTTAAAAACAAAATAAAATGTTAGTGGTGTGCAATAAAGAAATCTTACAATAAACAAGAAGAAAAAAGCCAAGTGGAGGGAGGGTAAGAGAGGAAAGAACACGGGTAAGCAGGAAATGCACATGTAACATAAAACAGTTTTAAGGCAGAAAAAAGACCTTAGTGGAAGAAACCTTTTTTTTTTTTTTTTTTTTAAATAAGTGAAATGAGATGCAGGGAAGTAAAGTGGCTGTGTTAAGTCTCAGCAAATTCATGATGAGAAGAAAGAAAACCAAAAAGGGAAAGAAAAAAACACACACACAAAACAACTCAGAGCTAGAAGTCAAAGGAGTTCCCCCAAGAACTGACTGGGAGGGCTGGTGGGATTGGCCTGGCCCTCTCGCTTGGCTCTGAAAATGCTACTCTGCCTTTGGAACTCGGCCTCGGGGGCCCATGTTGGACCATTGTCCCTTACACAAGGGTACCGATCAGAAAGCATGGACAAGCACTCCCTTCTGCTCTCAGTGCTCACCCCATTTTATCCACACTTCTCTCTCTCCAGGCAATGTCCAAAGAGGAGGAATCAGGGCCCACATCTGATTCCTTTGCTCTTGTCCCTCCATTTCACAAATTGAAGCTACAAGATAAATTAAAAAATAAATAAATAAATAAATAACCTTTAGATTACTTTACTTTAGAGATCCAAATTACCCTAAAGATCCAAAGAAACATAGATTCTCAAAAAAATGTTTTTGTAGGTTGTTACAGCACTAAAGCATCTAATCATTTGAAGAGGAATGTGTCTACTTAATGATTTTTTTCTTTTTAATGGCAGTTAAGTCAGTAAAACTAATAATTGTGACATAATATGGGTCTTATAGATGGAGCAGGTCTTATATATTTTTTTAATATGATATAAAAGCTTTTTCTTAAGTTGTATCTTATTGTAGAAATGAAAACAGTGACAGAGATATCCCGTGAAACAATTTTAGAAACAGAGAGAAAACAACAACTTCTCAGCCAATTTGTATGTAGGTCTCTAGGGTCAGAACATAGTTGCCCAGAGATTTGTTAGTTCAAATTGTCACAGGAAAGATTTGTGTGCATTCTGACTATTTGTGTATTCATTTGAAAGTGTTTTTTCCTATAGTTTAAAATTACTAAAACCATCCCCCATGACAAAGAAATAAGAGGGGAAGAAGGCAGTGATTTCCTTAAATTGTTTTTGTCAATGAGATACATCTTCCACCAACCCAGCAAGTAGCCAATAACACATCAATTCCTTTGCTTGAAGACAAACTCCCCTGATAACACAGGTCACTGGTTCCCCAAATTAGTTCTGAACACGGTCTTAGGGCTCTCAAAGTCCTTGCCCAGAAGAGAGAAACAATTCATGGGAAGGGAGTTATGTTTCAGGAAATGTAACAGAAAGTTATTTACCCCAACAGTAATTTAAACTAATCAAATAAATAAATAAATTTTACTCTCTCCCTTTTGCTTGCGAAGTCATTGTCCCAGAAGCCATCAAGCTGCTTACGCAGCAGCAGCAGGAAGAGTGACGTCCCCGGCCCAAGGCCACGTCCCGGAACTCAGCAACGCGCCGCTGAAGTCAGGACTGTGAGCAGGGCTGTTAGGAACCTTTTGGCTGCACCTAAACAGCTACTAGCTGGTTTAGTCTGATTGGTTAAGCTGTCTGTGATCATCAACCAAGGCTGAGTCTCTTAGTTTAACAAGCAGCTCTTTTATATCACGGTCACACACAATTCATTACTTCAGTATTATGTATGGTGCTTAGTAATCAAATGCCTGTGGGTTGTCTCTAATGTAACCATAGTATAAAATGTTGCTCTTTTTTGGCAGCCTACATTTCCCCTTGACCCTAGTGGTTTCACCAGTTGGATTTTTATTTCTTCCACATCAAATCCCACACTTCTCACTACCTCTGCCACGGCTGGCCCGCACCAGCACCTCTGAACTCCAGTCGTTTCTGTGTTTCCACTCTCGCCTCTACACTCCCCTCTAAAAAGCTCCCATCTTTGTAAAGTATATGATTGTCTAACCACTATGCTGTACACCTGAAACTAATACAGAATAACATTGAATATAAACTCTAATAGAAAATTTAAAGGAATTTTAATTTTTTAAAAATAAACAAGAAAAACATGGCCCCATCAGAGGGCATCTTTTAAAACACAAATCTGGTCACATCACTGCCCCTTCTCCAAGTCCTATTATGGCCTCCAAAGCCCTGCGTGGGATGGCCCTGGACACCCCCAGCTTCGCCTCCTGTCATCCTCTCCCTTGGTCATTCCGCTCCAGCCCACCAGGCACACCCCACCCAGGCCTGTGACGATGCTGCTCTTTCACACGGATGCCTGCTTGGCTCGGGCCTCTGCCGAAATGCCCTCTCAGCAGAGCTTTCTCCCACCCGCTTATCTTAATAATAACCCATTGCTCCCTCTCCCCTTGCCTAGCTTTTGTACAAAAAAAGTTGTTAAGTGAGAGTTATGTATATAGTGTGTGTAAGCTATTAAATGATTTCTGCAAAATAGGGAATTTATTCTACTTCTTCTTAAGCACTTCTTTTGCCAGCTTTTTGAAAATTTACAGAAATTTTTCACAAACTATAACCAAACAAGGTTTTTTACAGTTGTTTTGGCATTTGTGGTTTGAACATAATTGTACTGTATTTTTTAACAGCTAAATGAATTCCACATGAAAAGAACTGTGCTCACTCTCTCCTCTCCCTTCAAACCCACAGACGTCTCGCCGGAAACGCTTTGACATCCATTCCCAAGGGAGCATTTGCTGGCCTTTACAGTCTTAAAGTTCTGTAAGTAAACCGGGTGTTATTTGTTATATTTCTGACTGTAGCGACAAGTGGATGCTAATTAAGTTGTAAAGACTAAGTTCCTCTAATGAGCTGTTTGGAGCCATGGGATAATTCATCTAAATTCAAGTCTGCCTTCCTTGGTACCATAGAGCAGTATTACACCTGGCTGGATTTGTGTGTGAAAAAACTTCATCTCTCCTTTCCTGATTTTAATATCTAAAATCGTTTGCCTCTAAATAACCAACCTATTAACTCAAACTTAAGAGTATTTCCATTTCCCTTTGTGCTATGAAGTTGGAGAGAGTTTCTTGAATCATTTTGCTCACCAAGGGGATAAATCCTAGAGTTTGTTTCCTTATGATTAAGGATCAGCTAAAAAATACCAAGTTTATTTTACAGTTGTGACTAGGTGTGAAAAAGCCTAGTGATTGTAGATACCCAGGTAATTGTTTGAGAAATGTTAATTCACTGAGACTTGTAAAAGTGGGTTTTCTTATTACTTCATGTCCAACTCCCCAATTTGTTCATCAGGAAACTCATTGTTATTGACTAGCTCCTTCTTCTAGCGCCCACTGCTTAATTTTCTTTCAGTTTATTCTGTGTAGGGGAAAAAGGGCACCCAGGGAGAGAAAATAGGTAACGCAAGTTGAAAGTCATAACAGGAAAATTTTATCTCAGAGAAAATACCCTGATTTTATTTCCTTTCTTTGAGATAAAAGTTATAAACTCTAACTTTTGATATAACATTTGATATATTTCTGATTAATGGAAATTATATTTTATTCACCTTGGGGAAACATAGTCTATTTAAAAAGCAGTTTTATATAAATCTAATATTTGTTAAATATTAAACTTGTTGAAGGTCAAATTCAACAGCAGAACCATTTTTGGTCGCTTAGGTGATTGGGTTTGCTCCCCTCATACTTGAATTATTTTTGCTATTAAACAGAAATATTTTTAAATTGTCATATTGCCAAATCCTAATGTTAATTCATTATGTGGTAGAATTCTGAGTTATAGCACCAACTTCAATACACCTCTGTCTCCATGAACACAGCAAAATATTTGGAGCCATTCTAAATGCATCACATAAATCAAGTTTGGATAAGACAAACAAGGTGATGTATTTCTTGCGTCAACCTATGTACCACTAAGTATTTTGGATACTTGTTAAATTGATTATACTGAAACTAATCATTTTAATTCACTTAACAAAATGTAAATCAGATATACTGAGCTAGAGTGTGTGTGTGTATGTGTATCTTTGTCTGCGTGTAAAATATATCTCCAGCCATTATAATTATATGTGAGTTGTGAATATATAATGTGAATACATATAAATTATATAATATGAATTAGATATACATTAGATATGATAATTAGATAGAATTATAATTTTACATTTTTGAATTCTCATGCTTGAATTACTCAAGTTTAGTATGAATTTTTTTATAACATTTTAAATTTTCAAATTACATATTTCTTTCTTTTTTTTCAATCCTCACTTAAGGATATTTTTTCCATTGATGTTGTTGTTGTTGTTGTTGTTGTTAGAGACAGTGGAAGGGAGGGAGGGAAGAGAGAGACACACAGAGAGAGAGACAGACAGACAGACAGACAGACAGAGACAGAGAGAGACAGAGAGAAACATCGATATGAGAGACACAATCATTTGGTTGCCAGCTGGAGATGGAACCTGCAACCCAGGTACATCCCTTTGACAGGGAATCGAACCCAAGACCCTTCAGTTTGTAGGCGGACATTCTAACCACTGCGTCACACCAGCCAGGGCTCTAATTATTTCTAAATTTATCACACTACATTAAATGCCCATGAAATTAGGGGTGTTATTTTTCTTGGCCACTGGTCTATCGCAGCTCTTAGAACATGCCCGAATCATAGTATGCACTCAAGAAATTTTGTTGAATAAATGATCCAGATTGATGATACAGTGAGAACAAGGGGTTTCTGGACTTGTCCATGTTTCTTCATTTTGGAAGCTGTAGACCCAATGCTATATGTTTATTAATGGATTCTCTGTTGCATTCTAAACAAAAAATGTGGGCTTCTACCTGTCCGCAGGTTTTATTTACCCAAAATACTTCTGTACACACTTTATTGCTTCCTACAATATATTTTGCCTCAGCACTTCAGAGAGCTTTGGATTAATATGAATTAAAAATGAAAATCATAGGTTATCTCTCAGGCTTGTCATTTTTACATGTACTTTTTCCACCAGAAAAAAAATGAAATGTGGTGTTTAGTTAGACACTCATTTACCCTCTCCCAACTAAGCAGTCTCCGGTCTTCCATAGTCAAGGGTTCAGCAAAGCCTGCGGAGTGTGATACTCAACGTGGCATCAAACAAATTACTGCTGGAAATACAATGATCAATACTTGTGGTCCATGGCCTAAGGAGCTTATAATCTAGTGGTAGATTGAGGGATCAAGATAGTGGGTCCAAGACAGACAAATAGCTCACCTCTGATTCTTCTAGAAAGTGTGTCTAGACTGTGGGTAGGCCACTGTAGAATTTAGTCCTGTCTGATGATTAAGGTTCAGCTTCCTAGGAGAGATAGATGTTTTCCCAAAGAGATGATGGCCTAGGAGTTGAATCTTGAAGCACAACTAGGAATTACCCAGACAAATAAGGCGGATGGCTGAGGGGACAATACGCGCAGAGACACAGTGGCAGGAAGTACCTGGCACGGACAGGCCCCTCCACGCAGGCCGCGGCTCGAGCAGGTAGGAGAAGGGGGAGCGTATCTGGAAAAGGGCCTGGAGAAGTAGAAGGAGTCCTGGTCATTATGTTCTAGGCACAGTGAGGAGCGAAGGGAGATGTAAGCAAGGGAGTGGCATGTTCGGACTTTTCAGTTTAGCTACATCACTGTCAAGGTGGGGAGGATTCGAGAGGAGCAAGGCCCCCTGAAAATCATGTGCGCTCTTCCTTTTACTTTGCTGACTTAAAGATCAATAACTAAGGAGCAAATTCAGTTGTCAGATATTTTGGAAGTATTTCAGTGTCAGAGCAATGGTTCTCAATCACAGTGGCTCTTCCTACGATAGAGTTTTGGAAATTTGTGAGGGCGTCTTGGTTTCCAGATGAGAGACATGCAGGGAGCTGCCCTCTGCTGTGCAGCCCAGCCCAGCAAGAAGACTTCTATCCACCGCATCGTACTTGGCTTCTGACCGTCTCTCCACGCCACGCGTAAATCAGTAATACTTTCATAACTAAAAATACTGAAAGGTTTTCCAGGAAGTTCTGCATAAGACTTATAATTTATACAGGAAAAATTAAATGGAATAAATATATTCTCCCAAAATTGTTGAATAATTAATTCAGCTTTTGCATCCTGTCTGTTCTGGATATTATATGATTTCTAACCACACATTTTGCTGAAAAAGCTGTTGGCACCAGTAGAACAAATTCCCCAAATACCACAAAACAAAGATATAGAAGCATGGAGATGTAAAACTTCTTAAAAATAATTATCATTAAATTAGCAGGGAAACATGAAACACAGAGCTTTCACTGAATTTTATCAACAAAAGTTACTTTATAAATGTTTTGTACTATGTCCTTTTAAAATTTTTGAAGCAAAATCTATATTGTGACAATTATATAATGATTGACTTATTTGGGGGTGTCCTGTTGCTTTTTAAAAATCTAACTCTTCTTGTATCCAACTTCTGTGTGGGCAGTTCCCCCCTCCCCACTTCTTTCCATTTCAGCCTCGATTCTCCGTTGCCTCTCTTGGGATGGCATATTCTCCAGGGCCTCTTGAAGTGCCGGAGACCAGTGCTCCCTCAGCATATGATGGAATTTTGAGATAGGATAAATGTTTTCTGCAATATTTCAACCCTATCTTGTCCTGAAAGATAATTATTTTGATATGACTCTTACCAATAAGAAACAGTTATTTGTGAGAATATCCATGTTCATTTGTGAGAATGTCACATTTCCTCATTTCTCCACTACGTCTGTAATTTGTCTTGGAACGTTATAGTTATTTAAATAAGGGTTATTTCCTTCTTTCCTTATAATATATGTGTCATCTGTGATACATCTTAACTCCAGTTCTTATTCTAGCATCCGTCTTGCCCTCTACTCTCATTTCTTGTTCTTGTACAAGGTAGCTTCTGATCATGGTATTTATCTCACACCCAACTTTATTCATTAAAAGTAGAGACAAACATCTGACTCATTCAGAAAAATGTCTCCTCGGGCAGTCACATCTGAGCATAGCAATGTATAAAGTGATACATTTATCACTTCATTATAAATTGTTCTTTCATTTCTTCTTTATAATACAGTCAAAGCAGTACACTATGCTGACCTTTCTCTTTGAAATGATGTATGTAGATAGGTTATATTTTTATGAATTTTATCTAAGTTTAGTAGATGAAGTATTACAAAATACTTATTATTAAAGGGAGAATTGGGTCCAACAGGGTAAGAACCACAGTGCTAGAGGCAAAATACTGAACAAGACAGGCCTGTCCTTACCCTCATAGAAACTCTCGAATGTTTTATAAAATCCAAAAGTCATAGGAAGAAAGAAATAACTGATTGTATTGTAGCATGGTGAGAAAGATAAAATAAAAGTAATATCTGTCTGGGACCCTGACCAGCATAAGGAGGGTTAGGAGGGCATGTGGTAAAAGAAGAGAAAGATAATAGTAACACAGTCCATTGAGATGGACAATGAAGACAGCAACAGCTGTCCTTGGCTTGGACTGTTTTATATCCAAACTTGTTACTGTGAGCTCTAAAAGACCACTAATGTTTAAAATTATTATCCCTGCAAATATTGACCTTCATAAAAAATAAGTTATTGGTTCTTTTACTCAGTCCAGTGGAATTCTGACCCAGACTATCCTCAACAAAGGTTCATTTTCTTGTGTAGGCCTTTCGGTCAAGGAATGGCTCATTTCTTGCCACCCACTGCCAGAACCAAAGCCACGTAGAGGCAATGGGTAAAGCTAACCATAGAAAGGTCACAATTAGCCAGAATTTCTCATTCCCACATAGGCCCAGAACAGGGCCTTGATAGTTACTTAATACCTAAACACAGGACAGTTAGGCAGAGGGAATGTGTAAGAATCAAGCCATCAATTGTTGCAAAGTCCCCATTCCACATATTATTTCATCTCCCTCTGTTTCGCTCACTGTCCATATTCTTATTTAGTCCTTTTGGCAAAAAAGGTAACCAAAAAATTGTACTGTTAGAGTAGCATGGGGATGTTGTATGGAATAGTGAGTATTTTAAAGCTCCTCAGGGAAAGAAATTAAGAAACTGAAGTCATCCTTTGTCTCTAGAGAAAGTGTTTCATTTTCTTTTCTTCCCCATATGTGAATGAAAAAAATGAAGTTATAAGTGGCTAAACCCATATTCAGTTCATGCACATTCTGCTTGTATTCAGTGTATTGAATAAAAGAGCATTTGCAAAAGAAATCAGCAGCCAGGTTGGGAACGCTTTCTATTTTAATTGCACTCCATGGTGCTGTAAACCCTTTAATTGTTTCGTCTCCCACTGGAATATCTTAAACAAAAATAGAATTTTCTAATTAACTCACTGGAGACTTATAAGGATGTAGTGGAGATAACTTGCTCTTGTTTTGTCATTTGAAAGTAATTAAACAAGTTCTTTACTTAGGGAAAGATCAGGACTTAAATTGTGTGTTTTTTTAATTATATTTTTGGTGTTTTACTGGTGGAAGTAGTTGGAAAATTAAATTGTTGGGAGGTAAGTCAAGAGTAGCTTTAAGAGTTATCATTAATAAAGCTTGTATAAGTTCCATTTTCTGAGGCCAAATATATAAAGCCACTGAGAAGGTTTGCGCCTATTCAGTGAAGGAAAACCATCTAAATATCTCCTATCCTCTTCTCTGATTTTACAATATTTTAGGAAGACCACATTTTAATAGTTTCACTGTTTGGTTAGCAAAGCATAGAACAATTACTACACACTTTGTACCAGTAACACACTACTACTAAGATTAGACATTAAGTTCATTATCTGTATCTTATCATTATTAAATTCATCACTCAATAATGAATGACTTAGAAAACATTTCTATGAAGTTAAAATTATGTAATATATTAAAACTGCTTGGAAAAATATAAAATAACATAGAAATGTAAACTTTTAATGTTCAGGTAAATTATGCAACATATGGATTCAAGTTACAATTTTCTCAACTCCCTAACTGGTCAGTGAAGTGTGAGATCTCCCTAAAACTTGACTTTGTTTGTAAGGAATTAATATATTTTTTGAGACTCCCATTTTATAAAATGTTAGTTGAACTCAAGTTTAACTTGAGCAAAACTACTGGAATGCAAGTGAAACAATTATATTCCTTAGAAAACAGACTCTCAGCCATGGTGAGAAAAGCATAAATTTTATGACCTCCAAGTATTTTTTACATCTTATTTGTATGTGAGCTCGTATTTGCATATATGAAAGTATAATAAACACCCTTAAATTTTAATCATCAAACACTTTATTAATCAGATATTATTCTATTCCCATTGTACAGATAAAAGACAAGGGTCAGGAAGGTTAAAAGATTTGCTTCCCAAAACTTAAAAACTTAGAACTTATCTTCAAGCTCAATGTAGCCTCAAGTTCATGTGAAAATATTCTGTCAGAAATACTTAGCATAGCCGAGGGTGCTTCTCAGTCTGTGGTGCCTTGCCCAGCAGCACAGACGTCACCCAGGAGTTTGCTGGAAATACAAACTCTCTGGCCCCTGCCCAGACCTACTGAACTGAAAACTTTGGGGTGAGGCCCAGCAGACTGACTTAACAAGCCTTCCAGTGGATTCTGCTGAACCCTAAAGTTTGAGAAGCACTGGCATAGGTTTTGTTGCTGCTACTATTGTTGTTGCTGCTGATTTTATTTCCTCAATTAAAATGTCACATTCAGTACAATCTCACTCTATCATTAGTTTTAAGAAGGAGTTTATCACTTCATACAAAAGGGCCAACTTTTATTGAATGCTTACTATGTGGCAGGTATTGTTCTATGTACTTTCACTCATTGGAGGTCACAATAAATCCTGGCAGGGGAGTATAATTACTGGTCACTGAGACACGGAGAGATTGGGTGATTTGGCTCAGGCCGCACTGCTGGTGGCAGGGAAGAGGTATTCAGATTCAAGAACCTATGCTCTCAACCATACCTTAATCACACCAGACACCAATACAACCTGAGAACTGGTACAGTCAGCAAATATTCCTCAAGAGTTAGACACCAAGCTGTGTCCCAGCTAGTCATCTAATGAACAGAAGCTTCAAATGTGACATTGAGGGAACCAGGCAAATTGTTTCTGAAATCCAAATATAAGTTTGTGACCTAATAAGCAGAAAAATTTCTGTAAAATGTCTACTTTCCTAAAACAATCTTCTGCCTCTGGCTTACATGGACCATGAAATACTCAGGGGAATGGGAGTGACTGCATAATTATTGTGTTATTTTATAAATAAGGTGGCAAAATATAAGGAATCTAATGGGAATTTTTTCCATGCTATTTTCCCATTAACAATGATATATTTTTATTTCATTGTTGTCAAGTGTTTCCATTCTGTAATCCCCATGTTCTGAAAAGAATTGTTGAATGTAGGTGAGCAAAAGTGCAAACACTTCACACAAAAAAAGTAATTTATATCAAAATATGACTGTGAGCAAAAAGGGAGATCTTTAATAGCCTCCTACTATTATCCTTATTTTCATTTTGTCTAATCTGTACAGTCACCAGAGTGATCCTTTAAAAACATAAATAAGATCACATCATTTACCACTTAAACCCTCAGGAAGAGTTTCTCATCACACTCTAAACAAAGCTTTATCATGGCCTGCAAGTCCTCCATGAGATGACCGCAGGTTCTCTCTCCCAATCTCTTGCTCTCGCTCATTCCTCCTCAGTCACAACTGATTGTTTGCTGCTCCTTTAACAAGTCAAGCAAGCCCCAACCTCAGGACCTTTGCAGGTGCTCTTCCCAGTTCCTCAGTAGCTCCTCCCAGATATTCATATGATTCGCTCCCTGACTCCATTCTGGTCTCTACTCAAATATCAGCTCCTAAGAGAGACCTTCCATGAGCACCTTTAAAATAAAAATCTCACTCTTTTTTACTATCTATCCCAAATCCATGTGTTTGGTTTTTTTAATTCATAGTACTTATCACTTGTCTCATGTTATATACTCATTCGTTAGTTTTAATTATCTGTCACTCCCCATGGGAATTTAAGCTCCACAAGGGCCAACAGTTTGTCTGACGCTCTGCTGTTTCCCTGACACCTAAAGCAGTACCTGACACTGCTATGGCCAGTTATTGTTAATTATTGTTAACTTTCTTTAATATTTTTCTTTATTTGTTTTTAATGTGCAGTATGCTGCAGAATAATCACCTAAGGCAGGTACCCACGGAAGCTCTACAGAATTTGCGAAGCCTTCAATCCCTGTAAGTATAGATGAAATTGCAAAATGTCCTCAGGATCAATTTGGGAAGAAACATTGAAATGTTCAAGTGACCTTTTTAGTAAATTCCTTGGTTGGGAGCCCTACCTAAATAAGTTGTGAAAGAGAGTTTCCATTAGAGCAGCAGTTCTTCACATCCTCATTAAACAATATGTGTGAGAGGGACTAGTGTTGGAGTTTGGGGTTTCAGGGCAGAGGCTTAATCATAACACCTCCAGTCAAAAGCCTCTTATATATGCTGGTATCTCAGAACAAAACGTATACTTCCAGGATCTCGTCCTACACTCCCCTGTAATTTGAAATTCCTGAATTCAGATCAGGAATGTTACTTTCTCTTTTTATCTAGAAAAATAAGTGTCACAATCTAGACATCTAAACATCTCCACATCTTCAGTTTATTCTGTTTTTAGAATAAATTGCTGCTTTGTAATGAAATTTGCTGAGTCAAATAAAGACTTAATTTTTTTTAAGTTCTGTATGTACATCAGAGATTCTCAAATCAATAACCTAAGATCTAATAGTATTTCTTAAAGTCTTACTGCACAAGCCTACAACCCAAGAGCTTCCCCTTCACTACACACAGACATATAAACAATCCCACAGAGACACACACACCCCTCAGATTCACACATCACACAAAGATGCACAAACACACACACCACACACAGACACACACACACAAACATACACAGCAGTAGTGTTGATAATGTTCCGTACTCTGAATCCACAACTTTTCCATTGGGAATTTCCACCATCCACTGGTTTAAAACCTCTGAATAAATAAAAATTAGTTATCAGATGTTCTGGAGCTTGGGTTGTAAGCAGTTGTTTACAGTGATTATTTGGCAAGACTATGCCACGAGTATTTATTTATTTGGTCCGTAAATCTCTCTCTCATCAGCATGTGTAAGTGTTTACAACATAGTGCATGATTTCCAGTATACACGTGTGTGATATATGCTCTCATCTTGCTCACACTGGAGGTCCTCATCTGTCAAACAAAATACTGGCTTCTGATCTAGAATGATGAGGAAGATAAATGCATAAGTAAGGCAAATAAATATTGCAGACTCTAGTTGAAAATTCCTGTAAAAAGTCCACCGGTTAATAATTACACATGGTTTGCTTAATGCCTTTTATTGAGGTGACATGAGAGAAGGAGGAACTTGAGATTTGGAGATGATACTTTCTTCCTTTGATCTTTTTTTTCCCCCTAAATGAAAGCAAATCTGGGCTCGAGACCATTTTAAGCTTTTCACTCCAGGCAAACAAAGTGACTTCCTAGGTTTTCACCATCCTATAGATAAACAAGCCCACAAGGGCCCCTTTGTGGCATGGGACAGGTCTGCTGCATTTTCAGGAGCTCCTTAATGACAGAACAGTATCACTCCCCTTTGTTGCGCGAGCCTTTTCCTGAAGGGAAGAAGCGGTCGGAGAAGCAAACCGCTCTCCCGTGGGCTGTGCAAGGCCACGGCCCGTGGCTGGATTGAAAGCAAGATAATAGCAGTGGCCAATGGGAACTTTAAACAGCTGGGAGGCAGGCAGAAGATAGAAGGATAAGAGTGTGTAACCAAAAGCCACTATCAGCTGAAAGAAGATCACAACGAGAACACACACCGAAGTGAACTCTTTGAGAAAGAGAAAACCATGAATCTTTTGTTCGCTCCAGCTGGGTGGTGCCTCTCTGATAAAGGTGTTCAGATTTAGTTTCTTACCGTCTAGATATTTACTATTCACCAGGTGTCTCTTGAATTTGGTTTCTGGTTCACAAAAACAATTACCTTTGAAACTTTATAAGTATGTGCTCCCTGTAAAAAAGCCAAGGGTTAACTTTCTAGTATGACACTTATCACATCCAAACTGAGGCATCTGGATAGACCCCGGGCCCGGCGCGCGGGACCGCAGGGCTGGTTATGTCATGTTTGGGCCCCTTCGCCTGGCGCGCAGGCCACGCGAGGCGCTGAATGCTGGCGGTGCCTGCTGCTGTGCCACTTTTTCTCACTTATGTTTCTTGTGCTGCTTTGATACTAGAATTAAAATTTGACCCCAAAAAAGCATAGACTTAACCGCCAACCACCCAGACATCAAACCGTACCAACTGAAGGAGCCTCCCACCCAGTTTGCAGGCTTGGGCAACAGTGAGCCCCTTTAAAATTTTACTATTGTCCCAGATTCAAGGTGTTTCATAGTACTTCTCCTGCTTCCTTTAAGCATTAGTTCGGAGTCCAATGACCATTCCAAACATGCATTCCTTCTCCATTCATTTTCCACCTGTACTTAAGCCTTCGTGCTGCTTCTGTGTCAATGTAACAAAGAGGGAGAGAGCCGTCTCATCCATGCTGCCAGCACCCGGGAGACCTCCACTCAGTTCCCCAGCTCTTCTTGGACTGTGGCATCCCTTAGACCTTCACCCTTTACCCAGTGGTTCCCTTTTTCTCTCTCTCTTGAATTCACTCTATTTTTCTCAATGTTACTATTTTTCTTATATTATACATGTGCTCTCTAAGGAGCACTCCCCCTTGCTCAGGACAATGGGTGCATTACCCTGAATACTTGCCTGGCTTTGTAACTTCTGAAGGGGGGCTTCTCAGCCCTGGCTGCGGAGAAGAATCATCTGGAGAGCCCCGAAGCCTAGGCTGCACCCCAGAACAATTAAATATGAATGTTAGTGTTTTCTAACTGATTTAATTACATAGTTAAGAGCTTCCTAGATGAAGACTGGGAAAACTGATGTCCTGCATCATTCTTTCAGATGATATGTAGATATTCTCTGAACTCTTTTTAAACATGAAATAATAATAAAATCAATAGTTTGCATTCCAGTGTGAACTAATAACATGCTTGGAATATGAAATAAATGTTACAGGGTTGCCTTGTTGGTGTTTAATTGAAACAGCTCACATCTGCCTATTAACTCTACTGACAACCTGGAGCAGGTAACATTAGGAGGCCACCTGCTGTATTACCCTGGTATCCAAACGCAGCCCACCAGCCTCAGCACCTCCTAAGATATGCAGAACCTTGGGCCGCATCTCTGTCTTACTTACTTAGAAGCTTCCTTTTAAATCCTCAGGTGATTTGTATGGCCAATGCATTTGAGAAATCAAATTTTTTTAGTGTTCTGTGACACTAACAAAGTGGCCTACAAACCAAAAATGATTGAGAACTACTGAAATAGATCATTGGTATACTTTGTTCCACTCATATAGACTTGGCTTCATTGAGCAAAGTTTAAGAAACTTGATATATTGAAATTGGTAACACTGCTGTGAGGAAGAAACAGATTGTACTCATGTTTCAAGAGAGGTAATTTTCCATTTATTCCGCGTAAACAAAAGATATTTTTGCTTTGTTCATAATGAAAAAAGTTAGGTACATTTGTGTTCTTTTAACTCTCTCCTGATGCTTACAAATTGCTCAGCTAAAGAATCAGAGGGCCAGTCCACGTGCTAGAGCCTAGTAGCCCAGAGCGGGCCCCTGTACAATATATACATTCGGCTTCTGACATGGTCACGACTGCCCAGACACCAATTGGATTTTTTGTAATGTAATCAAACATAACTTAATTTCCTTTCTGTTTTTTTGGAAGGGAATAGGAAATGTAATCAGAATTCACAGTGAGTTGTATTTCACCAAGAAACGTTTGGCATTATAGTCATTTCAGGACTAGGGTCAGATTACAGCGATTTGATGGAAACGCAAAACTTAACCCTCCCATGCCCTCACACCTTGTATTAATAGTTAAGAAATTGATCTATTAAAAAAATATATTTGTTTCATTTGCTGATCGTCATTAATGATCTTCAGGCATGTCATTAGTAAAGCTCAAGATGATCAAAGGAAATGGCATATCTGGTTAACCAGAGTATTATTTAATACACGTTGGTTTTTATTCCAAGCCTGCACTACCAAAGCTAATTGTGGAGTATGCATACTCACAAAAATAATAGTTTGGTAAATAGAAAATGAAAGGAGAATGAGACATATCTTTAGTACTATCTCTATTCTCCAATTAGCTAATATTCACCTTCAGAGTATAAGACTATGTTTTAAAATCTAAGAAGAATGTATAATTCCTGCCTGGAACATGATCTGCCCATGCTCCTTACTGTGATATCAGTTTCAAGGCTACAGACCCCACCCCTGGGCCCTGTGAAATGTCAGTAACTTCCCCCAGACTGCCCATAGGAGGGCATGGCTGATAGCAGCCCAGCGAGGAAGTAGGCCAGAGGGATGGGCGAGGAGGGAGGGGGGCACTCACGGTGCTGAGCGGAAAGGAAGGCAAGCCTAGAACCAGTGGCTCTCCCTGCTGACATCCAGCAGCCTATTGGGTTTCCCACCCAGGATAAAGAATGGGAAGGAAGTAACAGAAGACAAAGAGGTGCGAGCAGACAAAAAGAAAGCAAGGTGAGGTAGCCAAGAGGATACGATTAAAGGATCAAAGGGGTTTAAAAAAAAAAAGTAATGGTTTTAGTATTAGTGACACTATTCCTCCCACCAAATACTCTCCAGAAAGAGAAATTATAAGCCTACTTAATAAAAATACACCCTAGTTTTTTTGGTTTTGTTTTGTTTTATTATATAAGTGCCAACATATTTTGTGGGATGAAGGTGGACTTGGAAGCTCTAGGGGCCGGGGGTTTTATCTATTACACTAACAGTTCACTTCATGGAACCAATGAGTTGTTATGAGGAGAAGCTTTGCCTTGTCCCCCCACCTCATTTAAACATTAGGAGAAAATTCTTTTCAGAGACAAAGCCCTTTTTCCACAATGTTTATAAGAAGAGAGTTCAAATTAGAGCTTTGTCCTCAGAATCATATATGAAAAATATATATATGACTACTTCATACAAGGCTTCATGCATGAAAGATCCCTACATGGAGTTGTCTGCCAGGACTGTGGTAAATCATATAGGTGACAGTCATGTCAGATAGACAGGTACCTAAAAGAGAGCGTAGATGTTGTGGAATGAGAAGGAAAG